ATTTGGTTTTAATTTAATTGTTATTTTTCATTATGCAATAGACATAGACTACTATTCACTCATGTTGAAATACTTGGATACGACAGTTCACAGGAAGTTTGTAATCGCAATTCTAATTAGAAAGTGACCCATACCGTAACATCTATAATTGAGTGCTACAAAGCAAAAGCCTGTAATTTCAGTTTTTGCCGACTCTGCTTTTCAGAAACTGTGATCAGATTTTTGATAGATATTATAAAAAAATTCTATAATAAACACTATTTAATAAATCATGTGTTTGATAAGTCTGTTTCTATAAAATTGATTTCGGAAAACTCACAAATACAGATTTTTGCTTTGCGACACCCAATTACAAGAACTCAGTTCTGTAAAATGGATGTCTGAATCATCCATATATTAAGGTTTGTCTAGGAATATTATCGTTACATTCAGTTAATCAGCTCTTATAATAGCTAAATATACAGCCAGTTTAAGCTGATGATATTCTATTTTGAATCAAATTTAGTATAAGGGACTCTACTCTAAATCAATTAATTAGTAATCAATTTTATTAGCAGGTCCCATTAAATTTGATCACCTATTTTTGTCAATCTTAATATAAAAAGGCCTGCAATCAAACTAAAACAATATTAAATATAATAATTTCTTTATAATTGAAGATTTAAACAACTCACCAAGTAATTTTATTTTCAGAAAAAAGAAAACGCCTAATGCAGTTAGACAAAAATTAGTAATACAAAAAACAAATTTAAAAAATAATAATAATAATAAAAGAAAACAACTCTATCAGGGTGAAAAAAAAGTTTAACAATATGATCAAAAGATGATACCATTGATCTGGGGTGGGTAGGCACACATACTGTAAGGATGCATATGCATACATATATACGCACACCATTGTCTATAAACTTAATAGGTACCATGGTTCAACTTTTTTGGTCACCTGATAAAGTTAAACAAAGTAATAATTCTACTTATCAAGGAATGCAATATCAAAGGAAAACGGTAATTCTTAAATTTGAATTGATAAGGCAAGATATCACAATTCAGACAAGACTTTGTAGTCATTGTAATCTGTTGTAATCCTAAAATTATTCTTGTACATCAAAAGAAACATATTTATCTGTAATAAATAAAGGTTTCAATCTCTATTTAAAATCAATTAAGTATCTTTAAATTCAAACTATCTCAAATAAAAATGAAATCTATATAAATTATATTTTTCTTTCACTATAAAAAAAAAAAATATAGAGTTTTTTAAAACTTCCTAATTTTGATACGCACTTATTCTATAAGTCTCTATCTGATTTGAATCAAGAATTTGCCAATGCTTATGCCTATTATAAGCAGGTGACCCTTTGCAACCCTACTCTCAATAAACAAAAATTATTAAGTGAAGCCTGAACATCATGGAAGGAAATAAAAAATAAAAATGAAACTGTCATTCATGAAAAGATCTGATTATACTTAACAACAGTTCCTAGTACAATTCGCACACATCATAACTTTATAGTAAACACCAACTCTAACAGTATATCAACATCCACATCGGCTTTGTCCTCATCCACTTCAATAATTTTACGACAACCATTTGATAATATCAATACTATTGAAAAAATACAGTAGGTCAAAAAGATGCAATAGTCAAAATTAAAGAAGCAACTTAACTAATATCTGAATGTAAACAAACAATTAAGCTTATCAGTAATCAAGATATAAAAAAAGAATTATTAGCCAAAATTAAAAAAAACTAAATAGTTATTAAAGTAAGTGAAAAAAGGCTAAAAAAACATAAACGTCATGCAGAAGCTCAAGTTAAACTTAGGGCAAAAAAACAAAAACAACTCAACGATAAAAGTATTATTGAACAGTATGACAAACCTGGATGACCACCAGCAACTATACTAAATCCAGATCTTTGGGACAATATCCATAATTGTATAGAATTCAGACCTGCTCATACTAAAAGACAAAAGACAATAATTAAAGTTCGTATAATTAAACATTTGTGTGAAGCATTAGAGAAAAGATATAATATCTATCTCTCGCATTAATATTTGTCTACATATTTGGAGCCTCAACACAAACACACATTCGCAGCCTGCCATCATTACCATTTTGCAAAAGTCAGGCTGGCATCAGTAGCAAGAACTAATATGAGACAACATATTGATGAACACTATTGTTTGGCGTCTGTTAAAGCAGCACAAGTTTTTGCGGAAATATTTGCAAGTGATACTGTTGTCATTTTCCAAGATGACAAACCAAAAATTGGTTTAGGTATTCCTGCAGTCAGCTATATGTTTAAGGCTATGCAATTGATAAATAAACCAGTTACTATTGAAGATCATGATTTTTTTAAAAGAAGTAAAATGAAACTTATACCTTCTGTATATCTTCTTATTGACCCTAATGATTCAAATACTATGCTTCGCTCTAGACAACTCGCTATCTTTATCAGGCCTGAATATTTCGTGGGCATATCTTCATTGACGCATATGGCTGATCTATTAAGCCTTGTTAACAACCAAGTTTTTACATCTGTTTCATTGCAAGAAAATGAAGTTAGACTGATTTGGGTTCTTCTTGTCGATGGGGGGCCTGATAAGAATCCAAAACACTTTAAAAATATTATTGAATATTGTAACTTATTTCAGGCTCTAGATCTTGATTATTTAACTATCCACACGCATGCGCATATCAAAGTGCTTATAATCCTGTGGAAAGGAGCATAGCTACTTTATCAGAAAAACTTGCTAGTATTACTCTATCTATAGATGAATATGGTGTGCATCTGGATTCTCAAAGAAATGTTGTAGATGAATAGTTAGCGTGGCATAATTTTGAATTTTCAGGAAATAGATTATGTGAACTTTGGAATAGAGATGATATATATATTAAACCCATAACAGTACACTATGTCGATCAAATTAGTCAACCATTTGGTAATATTGTATTCTCAACATGGGAATGGATTGAGCATCATACCCAGTTATCTTGATATTCATTAGATCTAAAAAAATGTAAGAATCATCAATATTGTCGTGAATACAGAGCTCCTGATGCAATACTTTTACTGGACCAAAATGAAGGATTTCTTTCCCCAATTGCCAAAGGAAAAAATGAACATTTTATCGATCCAATACACGCCCTCCAATACTTTGACAAATTAAAGATTTCGCTATATGATAGTTCATGCCCATCAATTTTGAAGAAAACATACCATCGATTATGTTGCAGCAAGTGTGGTAAGTATTTCCCTACCTTAAGGTTCATTACGTATCACAAGCATCAGCAACATCCATCCAAACATAGCCGACCTCGAAAGCAAGTTGATGAGATATCACTAGCTGCTGCCTCATCAAACTTTAGAGTTGCCAAAGATGTAGTTGACTATAATTTGTTGGATGATGAGATTTCGAATTTGTGTAATATACAATTTTATAATGAATGGGAATTAATAGATATTAGAATCTATAATTAATATTAGTTTATCTAGTTAGAACTGTTAAGTGTAGTTTTTAAACGTATAAAAAAAAATAAATAAGCCTGTTGGCTAATGAACTACATAATCTTTAACTTTATAATCTGTAACTTTGTGTGAGTATGTTCGTATATATATTTTTTATCTGACCAATAAAATTTTGTACTACTGTACGATCTGTAATCCATCTTTGCTTGGTGGCTGTTAATATATATTATATATATAGACGTGATCACTAGTGGACCCATGTATCCATGGTAAAAACTAGGTAATAAATAGCATGGCCTTTATATAATTGAAAAAGGGTTTATAATTTAATTAATTAAAATTATATAATTTTGATACTATTCAATTTGTCTTATTAAAATAAATTAAATAGTAGCAAAATTATATAATTCTAATTAATAGTCTTTGAAATAATTAATTTTTTATATCTGTTATTTTTTTTGCTAATTTGTCTTACTAGGCCCATATTATAGACTTTATTTAATTGTGCTAGTAATACAAACTTCTAAAAAGAAAACAATCAATAAACAAAACCAAAAATTCTATTAATAAATTCAAAAATTTTTTAAAATATTTAGTAATAATTACTTTACAATCAGCTATTCAAATTTAGTTAAAATTTTTTTATTTTATTCTATAAATCT